TTTTAAATGCCTCAACCATAAACCCTAAACCTTTAAACCTTCACTATGGGGTTTAAAAGGCTATGGTTAAGGATTTAAGTCTTATAGCTTAACCTTGAAACCCTATGTATGATTAAAAGGTTTAGGGTTTAAGGTTTGAGCCTAAACCCTATTGGCATGGAGGCTTAGGGATTAAAGCCTTAAACCCTAAGAGTTCCGGGCCTTCCCTTTCGAACCCTAATCCCTTAACTGATAAGGTTACAAAGATAAGCCTTGAACAAGCCCTGACAAGACAACCAGAGAGCGCAGCGGAGCGGAGCGGAGAGGAGGGGGAGCGAGGGGATACTAATATGATTTAGGATTTAGGAATACCTGAGTACAGGTATCGAGTTGCTATACAACTGAAATGTTGAGGGTTATGGCGCCCAGAGCCTCTCTCCTTAGAGGAATTAACCCCTAGGGGATACTTTAAAGTACTTTAAAGTGCCCCGGGATCCAAGATCCAAGATCCAAGATGCCCCAAAAACTTGTTGAGGCATCTTGGATCTTGGATCTTGGATCCGGGGGCACTTTAAAGTACTTTAAAGTGCCCCCCTGGGAGCTCCGGAGACAAAGTACAGGGGCACCATTTGTACTTAGACGAATTGGGCCCCAAGGGGCACTTTAAAGTACTTTAAAGTGTCCCCGGGCCCAAGATCCAAGATTCCGCAAAAAGTTTTTGGGGCATCTTGGATCTTGGATCTTGGATCCGGGGGGCACTTTAAAGTACTTTAAAGTGCCCCCCCAGGAGCCCCGTTGATATATTTTTGTTTTATCTCTCCCCCTCCCCACCAGACCAAAACCTCAGCAATACAAGCTTCAAAAAGGTAGGTCCCGTGGGGGGAGTACCATGTATATAGATATGTGCATATAGTTTAAAGACTTGGCTTCTGGAGTTCGTATGTACTTCTTGGCAAGCATCCCTGTTGGTATGAGTTTATCGCAGTCCCCGTAGAGGAGCCCCACTTTTTTGCAAGGCTTTCGGGAAAGAAGTGCGAGCCATGATCCTCAGCACCTGCACGCCAGGAGTTGATGGCTGCGCTGGGTCGTGGGCTTATATCAAAACAAGCAGTGACTAGGGCCCCAAACAAAAAGAAGTGTCTGGGTTATCAAAGGGCCCCTAGATCACGAATCTCTGGTATTGTTCCGTCATTGGCATGTTGTCATCTTGTGGTCTTCTCTGAGGTTGGCGCCATCACTGCGAGGACCAGCAACTCGCAAACCACCAGGCAGACGCCCCGCGCACCCCACCTTCCTTCAATGCTGGGGATTGGTTGTGATTTTGGGCCGGGAATGTGTCATATTCGCCGGGTATGGCGGGGATGTCACAGGGCGCGGGGTTCGTGCTCTCACCAGCGGTCCAAGTGTCGAAGCAGGTTGGAGGTTCAGCATGTTTAGCGCTCAGGACTTAAGGTTCAGGGTCTCCATGCAAAATTTGTCGCATGTTTTTGACTCGCCTAAGATCCCTTTGGTGATCTCTACCGCGTGCCAGCGGCGCATTTGAAGTTGATGTTTTTCGAGTAGTTCGGAGGTTCTGCTCGATTCCGTGACAGAAGCCGAGCTGCAAGCGAATTTGCAGAGCCGTGCTTGGCTTGGGGCCAGTAGGTTCGCTGCATCAGGGTACCCTACTAAGGAGGACTTAGAGAACTGGCCACGTAGATGCGAAACGTCGGCCCTGGTTGTAACGTGACCGCTGAGCTCTGAGGAAGCCGGCCTCGACCGGGCTGAAGCCAAGCAGGCGCGGCAACCTCTCACTTCCCAACTTCCATTTCACTTCATCTCACTTCATCTTCTGTCCCGTTCGGTCTTGCTTTGGCAAGCGCAGGGACGCATGATCAAAGGCTGTTCGAGATATTGCTTTTTCATCAGGTGCTGGAATCGTCGCGCTTTCAACGGGAGCTCCAAGAATGCAGCTCGCTCTGGCTGCGGTCTCTTTGCTGCAGATTGCATAGCACCCATGGCACATTCTACGAAATCTTGCGCGCCGGGTGGTTTGGGGGCATTGCCTGAGGAAGACGCTGATGCCTGCAGGCCCAGTCCCGTGGGGCTAAGTGTATTCCACGTCTGGAGCTGAACACGTTTCAGGGAATACACAGCAGAGAGAAACAACCACCCCGATATGTCCACTCTGCAATAAAGCAGCTCTAGAAGCTTCCACGAACTCCCAGCACCACATGTGCGATTGCCGCCCAGCTTCACGCGAGTCTAGCTCAGAGCCCACTGACACTGACCCACCCTGGCAGGATACGGAGCCATGGTCAGCGGCATTCCAGTGTAGCTTGGCTCAACCTGAAGCCGCCTCTTTCCTGTAAGATTGTAAGACTTCTGTTCAGACCTCGGGAAAGATATGCAAGATACGATGGATGGTATTTGGAGCCTGGCAAGAATCTTTCCGTTGCTTGAGGCTGGTGTTTCGCCCCAGCCTACAGGAAGGCCGGCGCACGTGTCGCGAGGAGCTTGCACCTCTCGCTCCGTGCTTCTTTCTCTTTCAGAAGAGTTTTTCGGATGCTCTTGGAAAGTTGAGTTACTTGAGCCTGGGGGCCCAGCTCAGAGTTTCGCAATTGTAATGTTCTTTGTATAAGCCCGAGCTTGAGGAGATTCTGCGGGGCTCCATTCCACAGTGCGACGTCGACAGAGTTCTTCGACTTCTAGAGGCGACAGGATGGCAAACAGCTTCTAGAGGACTGTGTTATTGACTTCGCCCCAAGCCCAATGGGAAATGTAGAAACATATAGCAGAACTGCAGGAGAGTTCGTCTATCGATCAATCTGGTGCTTGCACGTGACGTGCCCTGCAAACCCCAAGGAGAAGAGAAATGCTAGATTTGCCGCAAGATACTCGCAAGAAGAGACAACTAGACAATTGGGACTGCGCAGACGTTCTTGTCCTGTCGAATCAATGGACAGTGGAAGACTGCACCAGGCATCAATGGTGTAGAGCACTGTTCCGATGAAAGTCAAGGCCCGGATAGTGTGACCAAACTGAGCAGAGTTTGAGCGGGGCTTGCAGCAGGGCTTGTCAGAGCATCGGGGGGAGCTGTGCAGGATCCACGGCATCAAGGAGGTGTCCTTGCAACAGGTGAGCGACCAGCTCACCTTGCAAAAGAGGCGGCTGAAGGCATGGAACGTTGGAGGAAGAACGAGCTGAGTATCGGAGAAGCACATGGAGAAGAGCCATGGTGCTCCAAGCGCCAGGGAGTCTGAATCCACGGGCGTACGGAGTCTTCCCACGGCGTGGCTGCACAATGACGCAGGCCGGGCAGGCCACGTTGGATGGACTTCTCCTGACCTCTGTTCAGCATTAAAAGTGTGGCTGCAAAATCTTTCACAAGTTCTAGTTTGTTCCAGTCGAGAGCCACAGGGAGGGAGTCGTCAAAGGCAGTCGAGGAAGATGCAGACTTCAGATAGTGGGTTCAGCTGAGTTCACTTCCATGGGCCTGCCCCTGTTTGCTGAGCCCCGGCAGTGCCTTGGGCAGATCCCCCAGCCCCGGAAAGCAAAGAGAGCCAAAGAGAACCAACGAGAGACTCCAGAGCAACGAAAGTGCGCGGTGAGGCAAAAGCCCCGTAGCCTTGAAGCCGAGAACGGCGAAGGTTTTCTGGCCGTGGTGTTGCCAGGTTCTCGGACCTCGGAAAAGTCCTCCGAAGGGTTCTCTGACTCCTTGGTGCACCTCTCGCCTTCGCCTCAGGAGCTTTGAAAGCTCTGAGGCATGGTGAGCCTGGCCGAGATCTTGTTGGCCTCCAACTGGGCCTCTGAGACTGCGATGTGCAGACCTCTCTTCTAACGATTCTGGCCTGTGGAGCTTTTGTGGAGTGAGTGGCGTCTGCAGCTTCGTCGAAGCAGTGTGAAGGGCAGCCACCACCACAATGGTTCAGCTCATGGAGTCGCTGGGAGATTGTGCAGGAACGCACGACGTGCAGCCTGAAAACAGGTGCGCGACAAAGGGCAGGCAGAGGAAGCCGTTGTATGTTGGAAAGATTGAACATGTGTTTGCATCTAGGCCTAGCAAACAGTCGAGCATGGGTGGCAAAGCGCAGCCTTAGTCTTTGCATGTACCATGTCATTTCGAGTGGAGTGGCTGAGGTGCATCGACCGTGGGGGTTGGTGGTTAGAGCTTTTGAGTACGCCAAAGTCTCACAGTGCACGTGCTCGACGACAAAGTTTCCTACAAAGCTACAAAGGAGCTTGGCACGAATGCCCTGTGGCTAGATGAGAAGGGTTCACATGTCTGCAAAGCTGACAGGGACACCCTCAGTCAGTCCATCGAAGTGCTTAGCACGTGGGTTAGAGCACGATCACCAGAATATCCTTTCCCCTGACCTCGCCATGTTTCTGTTGACAAGTCTTGGTCTGATCACTTCTGATGTCGTCTCACGCCGCCCCTGGCACGGAGCGTTATCCAACAAAAGTACCTTGAGCGTGACCCGAGATTAGCACCTGATCGGTGTAGAGGCCTGCGGAAGCCCTACAGATAGAGCCTGTTACCATCAGCCATAGTCGTCCCTCGCTGAAGTGTGAGGCTCGTACCTTGCACGTAAGCGTTGTGCTTTTGGCGTTCAAGTGGCATTGCTTCTGCTTCCATTGATGTTCATCCAATGCAGAACCCTCGTGCGACTCGAATTCATGGGCGTTTTGTTGCAAGTATACCTGATTCCGCAGTGTTGAGTATCAGCACAATGTGGGCGACTGAACTCTACGCCCAGATTCGATAGTGCACCTGAGAAGCAAGTGGACCGCTGTCACCCTGTGAAGTAGTGTTGGCTCTGGGATTCCCCTCTGCTCACTTTTGCGGAGAAGATTCAGTTGTGAGATCGTGACAAGGATAAGCAGCAGGAGGGGTCATCAAAAACAATGGCGTGAATTGTGTGAGTCATGACATGTAAGGTACACGAAGCGCTGCAGCGGAGCGGCTTGGAAGCAAGGCATCCAACGCGAGTGCATCCCGAGATGTGCGCTTCGGCTCAGCCGAGGCCCTGCTGTGGTCCATGGAGGTGAAGCAGTGAAGCGTCTGCATATCCTGCTTAGCAATGCTTAGCCATTCAGCCATTTAGCCTTCTCACAAATGCCTTAGCCCACCATCTTGCTGTCCGCTGGGCGCGATCGTGGAAGGCTGCCTATGGCTCTGCGCAGCTTCAGCCGAAGACAGTGCCAGGGAGCCCCTAGCTGTCTGACCCGTCTAGCAGGATGCAAGGGTGCTGTGGGTTTTCTGCTCGCAGCATGTGACAGGAGATGGCGAATAAACCGAGTGGCAATGCTGGAGGTGCCCATGCTGTGCCCATGCTGTGCCCATCTGCGCCCTGTCCGTTGCGATGACTTGGTCTCCAAGGCTGTCCTTGTTCCCTGGGCAATCTTTCTTTGCGTTTCCTGGCTCCTGACATTCTCTGTGCAGCGCTCAGTCTGGCAACGTGACATGTCATATCTCTATTCGGATGCGCTGCGACCCTTGAACTCTTGAATTCCCTGAATGCCGTTGTCAGGTCCATTACAAGCACACCGTGCCAATGTGGGTGCTTGTCGTAGCGTGCGTCCAGCTTAGAGAGTGCTTGTTTCATCGACCCTTGCAACTTGCACTCCACAATCCACGCGCCGAGTCTTCCTCACCAAGGCTTGATCGTTCCGGTGGGCATGTGGTACAGAGTCTGGCACCAGCCACAACCTCACGAAATCTACGTTGTGGCCCTGTGGGTGCAAAGGGTCCGTTCCTTTCAGGCGGCAAGATTCCAAAGACATCTCACACCGAGAGCCAAACTGGTGGCCTCGGCTGGTACAATTGTCGCAGCGTGATCTTGGCATGATGGGCATGTGAAGCATGTGCATGCCAAGCCCAGAGGCCTCGACCCCCCTAAAAGTAGTACTTGACACGGACGCCGAGCTGCGTACGTGCTCAAGCACCCTGCCAACCATGGCCTCCACTGCCAAAGGCGATTTGCAAGATTATGGCAGGTTCTTCTTCCTTGCCGTCGTGTGTACGCTGGCAGCTGCCCCATTGCATCACGGAACACGCGCGAAGAGGCCCTTGTGCCAAGTGTTGTGCCGAGGCGTGGCTCGCTGGTGTGGTTCTTGGGCTTTACACCTGGTCTTCTTACATGCAGCCGTGCCCGGGTTTCTCGATTTTGGTAAGGGCTTGCCAACTTGTGCTGAAACTACGGGTGCAGTTCTTCCAACAATTGGGAGGTACTTTGAGGCCGAGAGCCTTGCGATGATCACCAATGTAGACACCCGGAAAGCCTCAGGCGCTTCTCCGCCGTTTCCATCGCCGCACTTTCGTTACGGCGTTTAATCTCCAAAGGCGGGCAGTTCTTGGACATGGGCGCCCTGGAGTTCGCCCCGAACACGGATGTCGACGAGAGCTTAACCATGGGTTACAAGGACCTCGCCCCCAACATGCAAAAACAGTGCCAGAAGAGCGCAGTTGAAAGCCGCGTTTGAAGGCCCATGTTCACATCCTTCGACTTCTGGAGGATGGCAATCTCTACTGCGTGGCCCCGATCGCTACATCAGGTCGCCGTGACGTCCACACAAAAGCCATCAAACCACCACAGCAAATCGAACATGAGTTCGCCCATCGCATGGCCCACGGTCGTTGGCAGGTGGCGTCAACTCGACACCCCCTGCTTTCTACGAGTTCTGGGCAGTGGGTGGGCAACTTTGGATTCGACATCTGCTGTAGCTTTTCCTAGCTTTTCATTGAGGTAGGCTTGTACCCATGAAGTGTAGCGGAGGCGTGAACTGCTGCAACCCTTTCGAGCCGAAGCTGTTTGCTTGCGGTGAGCCCAATGATGACCAGGCGCCAACGCGATGAAGAAATGTTAGGCTCCTAGACCCTTAGACTTGCCGGAATCCCGCAGCTGAAAACGGCGTGCATTCGCCCGGGAGACGTAAGAATCTCTCCAGGGGGTCCCGATCGTTCTTTGTTTGGCATGACTCCCTGTGGGTCGAACAAAACGCCTTATGCCTGAGGTCTGGACTGAATGGTCGTTTTTGTATGCCCCCCTCCCCTGAATTATGGGTACACGAATAGCCTGGCGCAGCGGGAGCCTTGCGCTGAGATAGTTCGCCGTCAGGTCACTGAGATAGTGCCGAGGCGGTCCTTGCACTGGGATAGCGCCCTGTCAAGGTACTGAGACAAATGATGGGCACAAGCCCGTGCAACCCCAAACAGGCGAAGTAAACCTGAAATAACATCGAAACAGGCCCAGCAAAAAGGATAAGTAAGCCGGAGGTTTGTGGAAGGAATCCCGAAATACCTTGAAGCCACACCGACATACGCCGAAGTAATCCAGAACCAAGCCGAAACATGCACGCTGGATATAGTCAGCGGCTTTGAGGCGATGAGGGCAGTGGAGTCTGCAGGTTCGCGGCGGATTTCGGCTGACGGACACGTCACTGGTTCCGCAGTACAGGCGGGCTTTTTGGGCCGCCAGCTAACCTTCGGGTTGCTTTTGGGGTGCAGGGCGGGTCAGTGTGTGTCAGTGTAGAGTTTCCCCGGCAGCCTCGCTCGCCGTAAGACCGTAAGACTCAGATCACTCTGCCAAGTGGTGTGGCGGGTCTCCGCCCAGCTCCCTTCCAGAGGAAGGCGATCCAGATGGCGCAGGAAGAGTATCACATCAGGAGTGGCCAAAGCCCGATCCTGGATGCATTAAGGTCATGCGTAGCTATGAGGAGCTCTCAGCTTTCCGGCACCGTGCTGTCTACTTACTTCAGTTCTTTCTCTCCCTCGAGCGTGTCCTTCTCGCAGGTTCTTGCTCTCTCTCTCTCTCTCCCACAACTTCTTTCTAGTGACTTCGATTTCGGTCTCCGCCACTATATCCTGCGGGTATGCCGTTGGAGAAGTGATGACTTTGCTCAAGTTCCACCCAGGATCTTCCTGCACTGGACGGGTGCAGCGGCCTCAGAGCGCACAGCACACCAGAGAGGACTGTCCACAGTGTCGTGGGGCATGTGAGTGGTCCCGAGGACCCTGTGGAGAAGACCGAGGGGCAGTACAGGAAGGGCGAGTCTACCTTTTGGAGATTTTGCTGGGTGCCTGCCTCGGCCATAACGCTGTCCCGAAGAGAGATGGGTGTGCTCGGAATCGGTATGCGTTCCGTCTCTCTGAGGTCTATTTGGGTGTCTCAGCTGTGCTTGCGCCACTTGGCTGTGGCAGGACATGGCAGGAGCAGAGTTAGAAAGAGAGCAGCTGCCAGAGCTGCCAGAGCTGCCAGAGCCCTTTCCATTCCTCTTGATCCCCTCTTCTCCAAGGCTGATTGAAGTGGCCACTCGAAAGTACAGCTGAAGCTCTGACTCGGCCTTCGTGTGGGTCCCATCTCCTGGTGACCCAACTGGACCTAGCTTCTTGTCTCACTGCGTCTGCTACAGCTGCTACAATGCTACATGCACTGGCAGGAAAGCACACGGCACATGTGAGTTGAATCTAGCTGTATCTAGCTGTCATCTTTGTGACCTCGTGTCCGCGTTCTCGATGTGGGAGTTGCAATCATGTCCAGTGCATAAAGCTTCCAGCTGCAAGCAGGTGGCCCAAAGCTCGGGTAGAAGCTGTTCTGCGGACAATCCCGTCCGACATGCAAGCGCGCTGCTGGCATGATCCTGGCCGAAAATAGCCCGGGGGGTGAGAGGCAAACTGATATGTGCGCACTTCTGCTTCAAACTTTTGCGTAGCACAAGTCTCCTCTTTGTCAAGGCCATTGTCAGAACTTGTCAGACTCTTAGTAGAGGGCCCCTGTCAAGCAAGCGCTCAGCGTACCGGGCACAGCCCATGATCCCAAGCTATTTCCAGGTGTGGCCGGGGCTGCAATGCTTGCCCGGCGTTAAGTTGAGCAGTTGCTCAAGAGGGGGATGGGTAGAGCGATATGCTCAGAGGTTTCTTGCGGAGCATTGCGCGAGTTCTGCGAGATGCCGGCTTCTCTGCCGGGCTCGGGGTGGGGGATGGCATGTCGCAGCATTGACTTCCGAGGACCCCCGACAAAGTGGCTTCGACTGATGGGAACGCAAACTGACGCTGGCTGATAGGTTTAAGGTTTGGCGGGGAACGTGCTTCCGCATGCACTTGACACACTTTGGCACATGTTTTAACAAGAATGTCACTGGTACGCGGTTGATCGGTTCCAGTTGCGCTTGTGGCGTGCTGCTTGTGATTACCGCGTTGCATGGTCGGTGCATTCGCCGCTTTGTTTGATTCTTTGCGCCACCCAGTCCAAAGCCACTTCGTCAGAGCCAAGAACTGGCAAGACTTGGCAAGATTTTGCTGTGTAGCGCTGAAGCTTTGCTCCTGAACGCCCAAGGCTGAAACCGGCCCTCACAAGCTTCAAGCTTCTCAATTTCAGCCCCCCGCTGATTCAAACACACACACACACACACACACACCCAAACTGTGTGGACTCCCAACTTGGTATTGAGGTTTCATCAGGTCTTTCGAGGTTGCGAGCCGCTCAACACTGCAATTTGCGTGGCTCGACTGTGCAGCTGTGCGGTGTAGATTACCTGTCCGCTGTGCAAAGGCCTTTGTGCTTGAGGCTCAGTCTGCTGCCTTTGTGCGCATTCGACAGCTCGTTGAGGTGCTGCTAGTTCGAGTTGTCTACTTTCCACTTGAGCACGGACACGACAAGACTTTAGTCTCGCTGAGAGAGAGCGAGAGAGAGAGAGAGAGAGAGAGAGAGAGAGAGAGAAACAGGAGGTCCTTCAAACCCTACAACACAGCAGAAGAAGAAAAAGAAGAAGAAGAGGTTTTTTTTTGCAGGCGAACTTCGATTTGTCCCACAAAAAAGGGCATGGATGGCGCTCAAGTTTTCTCGGTGAGGCCTTTTGTGTCCATGCTGTGATGCCGCCGTAGCCTTACGTTGATTTGGTGCACGTACGGAAGGAGCTGAGTTGCGTATGTCACTCAGTGAACGTTCTCCCTTCGTTGCTAAACAGCTACCAGGTGTTGTGGACGGTGCCTCGGAAATGCCCAAGACGTTGAGGCACACGTATTGCACTCTGTATGTGTGTGTGTGTGACATGTGTGACATGTGTGACATGTGTGACATGTGTGACATGTGTGACATGTGTGACATGTGTGACATGTGTGACATGTGTGACATGTGTGACATGTGTGACATGTGTGACATGTGTGACATGTGTGACATGTGTGACATGTGTGACGCGTAGTTGCAATGTCACGCTGTAGCTATGCCCGAGACCAGGCGCTCCTCGACGTCTCCTTGCTCGAGGTGGCGGCTCATTGGCAAGCTGTGAGAATGCCCCCGAGTGCTTGGCATAGAATGGCGTAGCTCATGGAAGCAAATGCGCATAGAGCCTCTTCGGTTCTGACGCGTGGCAGGCCGGTGAGAAGGGCCTGAAGCTAGGTATCTGTTCGCGGCCTCAGGGGGATCTCAGCAAGGGTATGATTCTCCCAGACTCGTGCAGAGCTGGCATGGGTTGCGCATGGTGAATTTAGCAACTGATGCGCTAGGTTTCCACTTTGGAATATGAGTTCTTAACTTTCCCCATGGTGTCGAGTTTGTAGGAACCCTGCAGGGTTCAACAATGTTTGGGGATTCAAAGGGGCTTAGTTCGGAGTGGCAGATGCCCCCACTACCGCTCCGCAAGCTCCGCAAGCTCCGCAAGGCCTCCCGCGCTGCCGGGTCCTCCGAAGCTGCTCCTCCTCGTCTTCCTCCTCAACTTGGTGGCCGTTTCGGAACTCCCAAGGGGAGCTCCAGCCCCTCGGCATGGGCTTTGTGGCTGTGGATGGCTCCGATAACCGCCACAAAGGAAGTAGAATGGAACCCCAAGAAGGGCCCCCATGTCTTCGCTCAGCTGCACTCGAAGGCTTTGTGTGGCAGTGTTTGGGGGCCCCGATTGCGACATCTTCGGTCCGAAGAAGGACTCGGCCGCTGTGGATGCCCGGGTCAGTATGAGCTCAGTAGACTCCGGCTATGCCATTGGCCACGTCTCCACTTCTCAAAGCCTTGGGCGTGCATGATGTGTGTGTATGCGTGTCTGTGAGTCACGCCTTGAATCCAAGCTGTTGGAAACGCGCCTGGCATCAGTGAATCAGTCAGGGGCCATGGCGAATTGTGTACGACCGGAGGTCCTAGCGCCATTCTTCAGGCACATGAAGAGCGGACGCTTGCGACCGCTTAGTCTTGAGCACTTGAGCAGCAAGGAGACGGCTTGGTGCAGATGTGGTGGCCGCATCGTCCATGAGGCTCGGCCAGGGCAAGTTGTGAACAGTTGCTCCAAGCTGCGGTATCGCAGCAAAAGTTCAGAAAAGGTTCTCTTGCAGCGCTTGCATGACATAAAAATTGCTATCGTGTCTCTGGTTGACAACGCATGGCACTTCAAGGGCGGAATCATGAAGCACCACGCTGCGTGATGCTCCTGAAAATGATCGGTGTTCGACTTCCGGGCCAAAACGGCGACCAAGCTGCAGAAACGTGCACAAGAGACATTCCAGTGTTAAAAATGAGCTCTGTTGTGGCGGACATGTGGGGGCTCTCTCTCACTACGTGTTTTCGCATCCTCCTGAGCGACTCGCAGACACGGGAGTGGATCAGCGGATCTGTTGAAGGACTTTAGAGATCTTATGGACGTGGGTTTGGATCTGGCGGAGCGAGAATCCCCCAGCCACAGGACACCCATCAGGAGTCGAGGAAGTTAGAGAGTGCGAGACAACGGCCGCCGGCTTCTGTTGAGTACAGAGGTCCCGAAAATAGTAAGCAGAGGAGATGCCGTGGGTCGTGCTTCGGGTGTGCAGTTGTTGCGCCGGGACAGGAGGAAGGTGGGGGCGGGGGACCCCCGAAAACTGTACAGAAGATGCCGTGGGTGGCGCCCGTAGAAGCACGAGTCAGGCAAAGCAGACAGAAAATAGCGAGGCGCAAGTGAGGAAATACAACCGCGAGTCAGGAACAACGTGTGGCACGAGTCAGAAAAATCACAGTCCATGAGACGGACTTGCGAGTTTACCTGTAGGGTTTACAGGTTTGGCTTTGAAGTGTCTTGTTGTTTTGAGGACTGAGGGCTTTAGAGCATAAGGTTTGAGGGCATTTGGGGTTCAAGCGGTTTAGGGTAAGGGCGAGAGGAGTTTAGTTCTTAGGGGCTTTGGGGCTTTAGAGGTTTAGGGTTTTCGGGTTTAGGAGTTACGAAGTTAAGGGCTTTAGGGTTTTAAGCTTTTAGAGTGTGAGGGTTTAGGGTCATTCCGTTGCAGGATTTAGCAAATTTGATTCAAGGCTTCAGGGAATCCACCTCCCATCTATTGGGGTTTCGCACATGAATCATCTTCTTGCAGGGTTCAGGCTTTGGTGTTTCGCCCTCATCAGGTCTTTTTGACGCTTCTGCCCCTCTCGTTTACGGGTCTCTGGCTTCCCAACCTCCCATCTCCCTTTCGGGACTTTGCGGCTTTGGGGGCTGCTCACCCCGCGTCACCTTTGGGTCTCCCAAAATGGATGTTTGTACGATGGCGGAAGACAGCTGCCACAACAAGCCGCAGTTTCGACCGCTATTCTGATGGCATGAGCAACGGTAGCAGTCCTAATTCCTACAGCCGACTTCTACTGCTTGTGCTCCTTTATAGTCATGAAGCTATTACTAATGTTCGTATGGCTACTCTTACTAGTGTGATGATGACGATACCTGCGACCACTGCGATTACCTGAGCGGAAATGATGTGGGACAGACCGGAGCCTTTCCGGATGCAGTGCACCTGAGCACGACCCTTTCTCTGCTCTGAGTGAGCAGGCAACTGCCCCGACGGTATCATGGCAATCTGGTTTTAAGTTTTCCGCTCGCGAAATTGCCCCAGGTGGAGGGGCTTCTGCCGGACACAAGGCCAGGACTTCCGAGAGTAGGGTCTTGTGCCAACTGCCTGTCGCCTGTCAAGATTTGGGCAACGTGCCAGGTATACTGTCGAGGTGTCCCTTCTTCTTGAAGGGCAGCAGTTTTCGGATGAAGCTCTTCTTCAAAGACTGGAGGCGGGTCCAAGGGCATCAGGTCCGACCTTGCGAGTTCTTTCCTATGTCGTGTTGAGTGGAGACATGCGGAGACTCAACAGTCAGGGCTTTTTGTTGACACTTCAAAGGCCCGGACGGCGCCGGCCAGCACCAGCCAGTTTGCGGGCGAGGCATCCGTGCCTCTCTTCCTTGTATAGATACGCGAGTCCATGATTCAGCGGGAGAATCCTGGAGATCAGATTCCGGATGTAGTGACCGTTGCTAGAATGTACGTGCTGGAGCTCAGAGCTATCGTGCGCCCTCTTGTCAGGACTGGGGCAGAAGTGCCTTCGGAAAGGAGGCTTGCGCAGGGTTATCCGATATCCTTGACGCCGGATGTAGGCGTTCCGTGTCTCCAGGGCAAGGAGCTCAAGAAGGATGTGTTGGCCTCAGCCAAAAACTCGGATCAGGGACATCAACAAAGGCAGTTGTGCTGAGCTTGCGCCCTCGTCACCGTGTCTGCAAACAGCCTGTAGGACAAAATCGATGGGCTGGCTTCCAGGAGCCCGTATGCAACCCCACTGTGTTTACGTCAATGGTATGTCGTGCTCATGCAGCTCCAACGCCTTCTCCGCAGAGAAGGGTGCGCGTCTGAGATTGCAAGCTTGCAGCAGCCATCTTAACTATCGAGCAGGAGCATGTCCAGACTTCCAGGCAAAGGGGCGCAAACACACGGCAATTGCGAGCCCATCACACTGTGCACTGGGGGGCGGTTGACACGCAAACCTGTGGCCAGGCGGACGAGGTCCAGCGCTGCCCTTGGCTACCGATACCCGTCATTGCCTACAGGGATCTGTTAGCAATCATTAAGCAGGCACCAAGTCTGCCACAACAAGGCAGTGTCTTGTGCGAGTCGATTGAAGTTCGTTCTGAGTGTTTCACATCCCCTTGCAGCACTAACTCATCTTAGGCGTCCGGGCCGACCATGTCTCCACATCCTGCGGTGCCGCCACGATCAGTCTCAGGCCAGCTGAAAGCAGGTTTGCTCTTTGACTTCAGCCTTGACGTTGCAACTGCAAAAACCCGCCCATGACCTTTTAGGTCTTTTGGTGCTTCGCTTTGGGAACCTGGGTTTGTGGCGTGTGACCTGCTTGTCAGATGCTGATGAGTCCACCATCGCTCCCAGTGAATTTGATGGCCTGGATCCAAGCTTCTTTGGGCCAACCTTACAAGACCGGCATCTAGCGGCCCTTCTTCTGGAACGCTTGTCGGCCAGGGGGCCACCAGAAGCCATGTGTGGACTTTGCCAAGTGATTCTTAACACAATTGCTTTGATTCGGATGCCGAGAAATGAATCGGTCAGACACCCCGGGCCCATGTCTCTCCTGGTTTACATGACTTGAAAACAACAAGACTGCCTGCCGCCTTCGATGACTAAGCTGCTAACGGACCCTGGGTTAATGCTGCAGTCTGCTTTCATCTCCACCCCAACTCGGTATTGCTCCCTGTCTGCTCGCCCATGTTCAGGGTTCGAATGACAGAGGGATGCCTGGCTTCCACGGCAGGCAGAGATCTTGAAGATCGGCAAGAAGATCAGTGGGACCGCAGTTGTTCGCCTGGCCGTAAACTGCTGGTATGATGTGCCAGATTCTTGACACAACTGGCATGCCTGGCCCATCTTGGCCCTCGCCCCCCTCCCTCCTCCTTGTACAGCCGTCGCAGGAGTTCGGTGTGGAGGACACTACTGCCCTTGTCGTAGACTCGTCTCGTCTTGATGGCAAGTTCAAGGTTTCGCCGGTGATTGGGTGGTGCGGGTCTAAGCAGGGATCCTGCATTCTCGGCCTGCGTTGGCTGTGTAAGGGCCAAAGGGAGTCATAGGATTCTGGGGCCTTGGTCTTTGGGCCTTGCGGAGGGAATCCAGGGTCCGAGCCATCCCTGATCGTCCCTGCGATCAGTGTCCTACCCAGTAGGGAGGAGTCAGGGCCTTAGGGCGGATACCACATTGCACCTCCAGACGCCGGAGGCCTCGGCGGATTTAGGCAGTTCTTTTTACACCACGACCCGCAACCTACGGCACCACGAAGCTTCGCAAGACTTGGCACACGCACACACGTGTCAGGAGGTCCACCCCAGCAATGAGAAGACCCGCGATGCCGCTTTGCAGTGTTCAGAGTTAGTGTCTGGCCCCTCCTACTCCAAGTGCCACCCTATGTTGGCTTAAAAATCATATGCCCTCTGACCTCTGCCGGTATGCCCTATACCCTGATCTCCCGATTTTCTCAGTTCGAGGTCTCCGAGGTTGTGCAGGTAGAGGAGGCACGGAGTGGGAGTGGGAGTGGTGGTGCGCCATGGTGCGTCGCAAATGATCACACAGGTCTGTGGTCTGTGTGTCATTGCGGTCATTTTGCGGTCATTTGGCCAGATCCTCTCTCCTCTCGTTGTTGTTTTTACACCGTTGCTCTCTTTGGGTCAAAGCTCGGGAGTACATGGTGCCTGAGCGAACAGGAACATGTGATGCACGGGCAAACCCCTTAAAATGAAAGCCTTACTCTGACCGGACAGAGCTAGGACGGCTTTGATGCTGCAGAAAACAATGCGGGAGCCACTTCACAGGCAAACAAAAGCACCTCAGAACGAGCTTGCAAGGAAACCGTAGGTGCAAGTTCAATTCATCTGGCATATGTAGCACGCAACCCCACACATTGCACCTGTTGCTGGTGTTTCCGGCATGGGCGAGCTTGTGCATGTCCTCTAGTCAACATGGAACATGCTCTCGCACCTTGGCTCCTCAGAACGCCCCATCACTGCCTGCTACATACGTGTCGCATTCTTCTTTGACCCTCACTGTGATTCCTTTTTTTGTGGCTTTTGCGCTCTTGGCAGACTGTAGGAGATCTTCCGATGGCATCATGTTCGACTTGATACAGCAATCATCGCACTCGACGTCTGCGCCGGACCTTGAGGAGGGGCTCGGGCTTCGGCTCTTCTTGGCTCGGCAGCGCATCCCGCTGGAGGCGCTGCAGATCAAGGAGTTCAGGCCGGGATGGTTGACTAGCTCACCGCATTCTACGGCAGCACTTGTGATGCCACAGCATTACGCATGGCTTAGAACCCAAGTGTGAATGCTCGGGTGTGGGCATGTGTCAATGAATTTGTTGTAGTGTCGGCGTTCTGTTGAAGACCCGTACAGCAGAGTATGCAAAGTACGGTGTGATCCACAAATGCAGGGCAACTCTTGCTGTAGGTAACTTCGTGACTGTTAAGATTTCTCGTCCGCTGACGTTGCCGAACAATGGTTGTGAAGAATAGGGCCCTGCCATCGACTCAGGCAAAGTTGCTTCACGGGAAGCAAGACCTTGTACATATGTGATGATCGGCTTGGTCGTCCTCCCTCACCAGAAGAGCACTCGGCCGAAGCAGTGGAGCACTGCCAGAGTTGTCATTTCTGCGGTCCAGAATCCCACCTTCTGTACCTCGATGACTCTACGAGACAAGGATGGAGAGCCTGGAGACTGGGGCCACTTGGGCCACTTGGGCCACTTGGGGAGCCGTTTGCTTCTCATGATGCCCGGGTGGCTGATGTAAGCCACATCACGCCCATCGAGAACATGGAGCCTGAACGACTTGCACAAGGACTAGAAATGGCACAAGAGCTGGGCCGTGCCTTCTTTGCCGCCAGGGGGCCTGGAAGTCCTGGAGTTCAGACAGATCAGACAGTTCAGACCTACCTGTCATACATGATCAAGCACCTGGCCAGCACTCTGCAAGTAGGTCGTAGTCAACTCTCGTGACAGACAGCATCTCGACCGGCACATGCTATGTCAGGCACGGGTCTCTCGCTGGCGCACTTTGCCCGCGTGTCCACATAGCCTTGGCCAAGCGACGCTGCCCTCAGCGCCTGAACTCAGTTTGTGTAAGCCATTGATTCGAAAGCCTGTTGCAGAGTCGAGTTGCCGACTTCCCTTCGAGAGCAACTCTGTGAAGTCACCCAGGTTTGAACGAAGTCTGACGCTTAGATCTGACCACGCTGTGGCGGCAAATGGCGATCTGGGATCAGTGTGACTTACTTGTATGTGACTTATGCGACTTGCGCATCGTACGTGTGTACCGAGGGCTCAGCTTGGCGCGGCAGTTCCATCAGAAATACCGTCGCTGCTCAGTTTGCCACTGCCATGTTGTGGCTCCCTTGCGTCAGGCCCTGAGTCTCTAGCACCGCGCATTGAAGCGGGTCCATGGCAGTTTGTGTTCTTCTCAGGAGCTTTCCCCTAAACTTTCCCCAGAACACCATGCTTGCCGTGTGCACCAGGTGATGGGCAATCTGCGGATCGCTTGCTCCACCAAACAGGCTTGCTGAGTCATTGTCAAATTTGTCAACCCCTCTGCTCCTTTCGGGACATTTTGAGATGCACATGCTTGGGCTTGGCACAGGTGACTTTGTTGCGATCATACCATACGCTTCTACTCCCTATCGTGCCTGGAGCTAGGTTTCTCTTCGGAATTGCAGGGGTGCTGGTCTCGCGTGGTAGAGCATGGGAGCATAGTGCCCAGGTCTCCATTATTCCAAAGCAGCACAGTGCGTGTTGGTTGCAGCTCGGCGCAGCCATCCAACAGTTGGCATTCTTGCTCCAACTGGTGGTTGAGGCTCTGTCCAACAATCGAGACGCTCGTGTTTGTTTTGATCTTTTTGTTTTGTGCGTGTCTCTGTGTGTGTGTGCTGACAGCAAAGTTGCAGACAGATGAAGAAGACGCCACTTGCGCTGTTGGAGGCTATGCATTACGTCCTGGCTAATCCGCCGGACCCTCAAGGTCCAATGTCCTTCCGGTTGAAGTTTTTTCTCAAGTATGCACGCACCCACGAGCAGCAGCTTCTCTAAGATCCTACACCGTGTACATTCTGTCGGTGGATGGCCAATCTGAGCTGGAGAAGGATGTTGCGAAAGCGCATTGCCCCTGGTTCGCTCGGGCTACAAACATCTACCCAGCAATCCTCCGAAGCGTGTGAGGAGAACACCTTCGAAGCCTTTCATTGGTCTATGGAGGTTCAAGTTCCGGGCTGAGCTTTCGAGGATTGCTTCAGTTGCTGGACCTCTCCCCCTAAACCCTAAAACCTACAAATACACCCTAAACCCGAAACTCTGCACCCTAAACCCTAAACCCCTGCATTAAGTACGTTGGTACTGGCTTTGGTAAATCAGAGGCCCGGCTTCCCGTGGACTTTGGGCTCCAGCTCTCCTCGGGACTTCGCGTCGCCTCGCGCCTGCCCGAGGACTCTGCGCCTGTGGTTTAGGGTTTAGGGTCTAGGGTCTAGGGTTTAGGGTTTACGGGGAGGGGGGGGGGTTAAGGTCTTTAGGGACGTTCAGTTTCAGAGCCGAATGGGCAGCAGGACTGCGCCCAAGACTTGAGAGCTGCGATGAGGGCGTGTCTTTCTCGCCGGGCGCAGCTTGTAGTCGACGACCTCTAAGAGCTCGTGACATGTCGACATGGCTCTGAAATGGAGGAAGGAGTCATGTGGAAAGCCGCGTCTGATTCTGCTCGCCCTACAAGATGCCTTTGGGTCGTAGCTCGGGCTGACCTGAAAAAAGTGTTCTGGGCCAAACTCTGCCTGTGGCAGAGCCGCGTTCGGCCTGAAAATGCTTGAAAGCCCCTTTCAGGAGTAGGGAAGCGTAGGCAAGCGCATGATTGATCTTGTGTCCCTGTGTGCGTTTGACATCATGGATATCATGGTCTGCCGGTGTTCAACTTCCACCACCTCCTGACGCGGCAAATATGGCTAGTGAAGCTGTGACAGGTGGTGCTGACAGGGCGATCGATTCAGTGCAACCTTTGTTCGCCCCTGAGCTCTTGAGATGGACTGTGAAGGTCATGTCGTTTTTACCAAGAGCACCGCCTGTGCCGGAGGTTCACTGATGGACTGCTTCAAGTTGGCCAGGCGCGCACAACAGTGCAAAGCGGAGAATAAGCAGAATTGTGTTGTGCCTCATCTCAGGGAGCCCGAGGAGACTGTCCGAGATGACTGCGATGACAATGAGGTAACATTCCACACATCCGCAGGCTCTCAGGCGGAGCTTGGACTCGTCACATCTCGTCATCTGACCTCTCACTGAGCCTCACTATTGAATCGTGCTCCTCTTTGCCTCTTTCAGGCAGATGTCGTGCAGGCTGACATGGCCCGCCGTCGGCGACCGTGCTTGGCCTAGTCTGTCCATGTCTTTGCACGAAAGTGCCTTGTGCTGCCTCTCAAGTGGAAGTGCAAGCAGTGATGTGAGCGCTGGCTGCGCCAGGGTTCGTCCTCGCTTCCCCGGCGTTGCGGTGGACCCTGCCTCTGCTGAACCCTCGGGAGCATCGTCCAGAGCTCGAACGGACGCGAGCAGATCTAGACGCCGCTGCCCAGGTTGGGTTGGAGCTTCTGCATGGCACCTAGACTCCGAGACTCCGAGACTCATAGATGCGAAGCTCCCTGAAACAAATCAAGCCGCTGCTTGTGCTCGGCAAAAACAGTGTCCCAGAATCCCCACTCAGGCCTGTATTGAACGAGAGTCAGTTGCAGCACGTCCTCGCAGGATGCTCAGTTTATGTAAATTTAGGCCTGCTCCTGGCATGCCACGGCAGTCACGCATGAAGTCAGCACAAGGCATGCGCGCTCTGCTTAGTAGAGACCCGCTTGGAAGCTTGAACAATTGAATGCTGGTAGTTCAAAACGCTCAGTGGTTACTGGAAGTTCGATGGCTGTCATAGCGAGAACGAGCTGAGGACAGTCGCATGCGAAGTGCTCGAATAAATCCTTCTCCCGCGCACGAGACCTCCTAAAGTGGAGTGCTGCTGGGATGCTTTGAGTCAACTATTCACATTGTCAAAATGTCTGTTTTGAGCCATCTGTCGTTCGTTGATGCAGCTGTTTTCGGAAGACGTTTCAATGTCATCAGTTTCCCTGCCGGTCAGCAGACTGGCATTTAATGCTTTAGCTGCAAGATGGCTTTCCCACCTTTTGCGCAGGGTCCGCACCTTGCGACTGGTTTCTGGTGCCCGCATGCCCCCTCAAATAGATCATCACCAGAGTGATCCCCGAACTGATTCTACATGTTTTTGGGCGCGGTGCCGGCTCACTATTGGGCGCTACTTACAGAGTTGATGTTCGCACTGCCACAAGCAGGACATGGTTTGGGAATTGCGATCGGGAAAGCCGTGACGCAACTGAGGGACGCGAAGCTGTGCCCTCGGAGCCATACCGCATGAAGGTGCTCAAAGGAAAAGGCCGCACAGGCGCAGACGACGTGACGTTGATGTGTTCCCCGCAACTTGCGTAGACAGACAGCCTCGTAAATGCGGCTCAAGAAGGACCCATAGTGCACAACATCAAGATCTCGGGCAGACTCGCCTTTCAGCCTCACCATGCCGAGCTATAAGCTGACCTACTTCGACATCCGCGGACTCGCCGAGAACGCACGCATCTTCTTTGCAGTGGCGAAGCAGCCCTACGAGGATGTTCGCCTCACTCTTGCATTTGGAACGCCGGGTGACTTCAGCACCATCAAGCGACCGGAGTTTGACGAGATGAAGGCAAAGGGTGAGCTCGACACCTCTCTCGGAAAGGTTCCGCTTTTGGAAGTGGATGGTGCCCCAGTGCAGATTTCTCATGTCAGCCTGCTTGCTGTGCATCGCTGTGCGGCTGCTGCGTCTTGCTTCATGCGCGCACGCGCGTGCGTGCGTGCGTGCGTGGGTGGGTGTGTGTGAGTGTGTGTGTACGTGTTTCTTTTTTGCTCCCTTCTTTGCTCCTTCTTGCCCCTTGCATTTTTCGACCCTGTGCTCCTTGTCGCGTTTGAACCATGCAAGTCTTGATGGTGTCATATTATTAAAATGTTGGACAATTTGGGGCAATTTGCGACTTCCAGGTGCGAAGATCGGCCAGTCGAAGGCCATCGAGCGCTTCCTCTCCCGGGAGCTGGGCTTGGCCGGATCCAGCCCCATCGAGGCAGCGCAGGCCCATCTCCTCAAGGGTTTTCTTGTTAACCGAGTGGTGTATGATAGACTTCAAAGTGCCGCTGGGGGCCCCGCTAGCTTCAATAGATCCGAGTTTGGTATAGAGCTCCGTCGGCGTCGACAGCCGGGCTGAAGTTTGCTTTTGAGGGCGTTCGCCACAAACAGCTGAGTATGGGACTTTGGGCACTGCCTTCGGAAATTCCTTTGGGAGCATTCGGAACCACCACGATCTACTTCAGGGCTGCGAGCACAGTGGGAAGGGTCATTGCAGTCACTTAGTGTCTCGAAGTCACACCAGATGCCTTCTGGCATTTTAAGCCTGTCCCATCTGAATGCTGAACTTTTGAAGCCAGTATGCTTTCAGCGCCTGTAGTCAGCTGTGTGTGCTCCTGCACTTTCGGCTTGAGGTCGACCAGCTCGGCGAAACAGTTCGCGACATCAAGGATGCCTATCAGAAGGTGCCTTTTGACCGAGAGCATGGGACCGATCATGGGACCCCAAGAGCTGCCTCTTTTGCCAAGGTTCGGGGGCTGAAAGACGAGGAAGAGAAGAAGAAGGCAGGGCCCCAAGGCCGAAACACTCTTCGGCAAAAGAGGACTCTGAAAACCACCCAACAAAAACACCAGAAAACACCCAACGTCGCTTAAAGCATGCGAAAGCCTCTGATCCTTCTCAGGGCATGGAGAAGTGGTTCGCAGAAGACCTTCCAGGCCACATTGCATTTTTGCGTGAGATTTTTGAGAGGGGTGCTTTCGATGCGCTGGGAGCTGCAGGGATGCTCTCGCGGGTACAGGGGCCTCTGCCCACAAGGTCAAGACATGCCAAAGAGCCGCTAAAGAGCCGCTGAAGACTAGAGCCGCTAGGACCGCTAGGACCGCTAGGAGTTATGAGAGGATGCCTTTGACATGGTATGCAGTCGGCAAAGCCGTGGCAGTCGAGGCTCTGCTACGATTGAGTTGTGCCGTGAGGCTGGTGCAAGCTGACGGAGAAGTCCCTCCCTGCCGGGCCTGGACCGTGACTCGGCTTCTTCAACTCCACCTGAAGCCCTGAAGCATACTGTAGCACTTGTCATCGCTTGTACTCACTTGTACCCACTGTCATTGCCATCACTTGTAGTGCAAGAGTGGGTAAGTGCAAGGTGTAAGGCTTAGGGCCTTCAGGGCTTTATTGAGGCTTCGGGGCCCTGAATTGGAGCACTGTGGAGTGCAATTGGAAAGCCGCCCAACTCAGCAGTGGCTTTGCTTTGCGTGCTTTGCTACGGCGTAGCAAGGTTCATGGTTGGCGGCAAAGTCTCTGCTGCGGACTTGCTCTTCTACACCCTCCTCCTGGCACCCGGAGGTGTGCTGACGTGCGAGCAAAGAGAATACGTGAATCAGCTAGAATGGCTTAAACACTTTACAATGCTTTGGGGGACGTCAGAAGATTTTCGAAGGGCTCCCCGGCTCTCGGAGGCTTCTTCGACAACACCGAGGGTGCCAAGGCTGCTTTCCAGGACGCGCTTTGATGTCGCCTTTGCAGCCCTTACCGCGCTCTTGTCCTTTCAAAACCTACTGTGCCCGCTCTAGTGGTGGACAGCATGGTGCTGCGTGCTCCAGTCTCCGCCACGTTTTAATCAGTCTAACCCTTTCCATCCGTGATGCTCTTCGAGGAAAGCTCCGAGCCCGGTCTAGGTCACTGGAACACAAGAGGACGCAGAGAAGACGCAGGAAAGAAAGAAAGAGAAACGAACTTGGACAGTCCCAGCTCTGCCACTTAATTTTCCACTTAGCTTTAGCTTTGTCACAAGAAGTAGGGTTTAGGGCTGACTCTGAGCTAAGTCGCCATGGCCTCCTGGAGCTTGGACTATGTTGAGCCTCTGGAGGAAGGCGTGGCGAGTGAGGGCGAGGATACTGACGGGAGCTTCCCATCTCTAGGCTGGTGGTGCAAACTCCTGCGAGGGCTGAGGAGACAGTCGAGATGGAGACACCAGCATAGAAGCAGAGAACAGAGGCGACTTCTGCCTTGACGCCTGAGCCATCTACAGAGTGTCTTCAACGAAGGTTCCAAGCTGCGCTCGCTTCTTCGCCGCCTAATTTGCCGGAAGCAGCTTCCCCGTCTTCAAGGCCTTCACGGACCCGTGCAGGACGTTCTGCCTTTAAGCAAAAGGCTGGACGGCTGCATGCTGGAGAGGCAGGCACTGGGCAGGCAGCAGAGAAGACTGTGCAAGCTGAGACTGGAGCCTCAGCGGCTCCAGTCGCGGTCCCGGTGGTTGCAGAGGCTGCAATGGAAGAGGAGCACTTGATCATAGGCAAGCCGCTGCCAGTGAGCTACAGGCCAGACTCCTGGCGGTGCACGCGCTGTACTCATTCACCATGCACAGGTCTCTCAGTCAGCGCCGACCAATGCCCGAGCAGGAGGCGTAGAAAAGCCTCAGGACTACACAATCTGCTTGCCTTTGAGCGGCAAATTTTGCAAAACAGTGGGAACCTGTCTGCGCACCTGGCGTTACACAGCTCAGAAGCTGCCAGATCTGCCCCCGCTCTAGTCACAGAGCGCCCTGTACTGATCAGCGGCACACTTCTGGTGATATGCGCCCGCGCACAAACTTACTCTAGTCCCTCTAGCTCGCTCAGTAGACGTTGCAGCTCTCGGGCCCCTTCATTCTTCGGCGGCAGCCCCCTCTTCAACTTCGCTCCTCTGTTGACGAAGCACTTGGTGCGAGCAAAGAGGAATGCGCAGAGACATGCGCTCGTAGTTGGCGTTTGTCATAGCACCGTCGTGCGCGACAGACAAAAGCGAGATCCAGCAACGTCTTTGGGTCAGTAGTGCTGTCAGAGTGTTGCTTCAACACTTCCTGCGCGTCTTTGGGCGCGGACTGGTCGGCTATGGCAGCCAAGCTCATGGCGGACCATCCGTAGATTCAGATGTGTGGCTCTCCTTCGTCCTCCACTTTGGCTTGATGAGCGCGTGTGTCCTTGCCTCCCTTAATTCTTAATGTTCTTGCGCAAGTGCTGCGCCTTTTCAATAATCTTTGGTGCTTAGGCGCCTCGTTCGTAGACAATTTCTTGGGCTCCTGCTTGGGCTTCTTGTGCGCAGGGAGTCCATTGACCCATGCGTCCATGTCTGTGTCAAGCTTTGCTACTGCAAGTCCCGCTGGGCGCCTAAGCCAACTTCACGGCGCAAGTATGTACGGGCCTGCCGCGTGATCAGTACTGCACGCCAGCAAGGACTCAACGTGCTCATGCTTTCGCAAGAAAAAGCTACACTCCAAGGTCTGCGGGGGCTCAATAGCAAAAGCTTGGCTGCTTGACCTACCGTTGCACTTACGCTTTCCGATGGCCGCTCGGGATGTGTGTTCTGGCAACACGTTTGCTTGCAAATACGGCTCTGCGCCAAGGGCGCACATTGGACACAGTGGCTCCATCTGGCAACGTTGTGAATAGTCGGCTCCGTAGGACGCACGCATCGATTTGCAAAAACTGTTCTCGAAGAAGTGTAGTAGCAAAGGTCGATCATACAGGTCCTGCGCCAGCATGTAGCCGTCGTCGTGCTCCGAAAGCAGCTGCGTGTCTTCACACAACTGCCTAGCCGACGACCCTGCTGACGGCGTCAGCTTGCCCGCGTCATCAAGTGGCGTTTTAGCTTTCTGGATAATGGCAGCAAGTCGCGACTTGCCGGTCGCATATCCACTGGCGTAGGGGCGCTGCGCTGTGGATGTGGTGTTGGACCACAGCCACTTGTCGTGCAGCTTGCCGAACGCGTCCAAGCTGTTGATAAGGCGCGTGGCCGCGCGCCGAAACTTTCCATTGTGTTTGTAGAGCCCACGAGTCGGATGGATACCGCGAGGCGGAACAAGCGCCGAGCAAACAAAGGCAGGCCAGGGCCCTCGTCCCTTTTGCAGCAATGCCCCAAGCCCCCTCCCAAACCCCCAAACCCCCCAAACCCCCCAAACCCCCCCAAATCCCCCAACCCCCCCTCCCAAACCGTCCAAACCCCCCCAAAAAAAGCCAAACCTCTCCCCCAAACCCTTGCCCGTGGGAGCTCTTGCGGAGCTTGATGGATGTGGCCGTGTCTTTGACGCCTTCAAGGTCGTTTCTCTTTCTCTCTCTCTCTCTCTCTCTCTCTCTCTCTCTCTCTCTCTCTCTCTCTCTCTCTCTCTCTCTCTCTCTCTCTCTCTCTCTCTCTCTCTCTCCCTCCTTCTGTTTCTCTCTCCCGGGCTGTGTGTTGCCTAGCAGTGGCAGTTTGCCAGGCTCCGTGTTGCTGCTTTCACAGCTTGTCTGGCGAAGGCAACTCACGCCAATCATCAACAATACGCACTGACAAAGACGCACGCTCTGATTCGACCTGTTGGGCACAAGCTTGCCTGCCCAGCCCAACAATCGCATCCCGTGCAAGTCTATCCATGCAACGTGTCGACTTTTGCGCAACGCGCCAGCCGTGATATATTGCAACTCAATGCGTGTTGTAAGAAAAACAGGCGAGTGATGATCACGACGCCCAGGCGCTGCAGCGCTTTGCAAGTAATTACCTTGTGCGTGCATCGCCTTACAACTTACAACTCGCAACATTACACGCACGGGACTGACCCAAGTCGTGGAACGTCTTTTCTGTACGCGTGTGCTGGGAGGACAGCTACTTGGAGAGACCTGCTGTGTGCTCACAACATGCTGGTGACGACAAATGGCCTTGTGAAGCGAATGTTGTTGGGCCACGACGGGATACAACCTTCCTGCACAGACCTGTGTCCAGCTGTCGCGCTTCGGGCTCCCCACCATTCCGAGCTGGTGCAGACTAAGTGGAACGAGCTCAGCAGCTCGCATGTGCTCTCGAACCACAAGGCGCCTCAGATGTGGAATTGGTGCAAAATTATCTGCAGGATTGGCAGGGCGTCAGGCATGCCAAGCAAGTTGACTCCGCTGACCTGCGACTGTCTCGTGGCCATAGGGGTCGCGCCTGATGCTCCTCCAGACCTGAGTTGGGTATCTTCCGTGTCATCTTCACAGCGAAGCTCCTGAAGCTCGGCTACACCTCCCAGAGCAGCTGAGAGTGAAGCGCGACGAGTCGGCGCTCATCGCGACCTGCCAGCGGTATGCCAAGCTCTTCGCTCGGTGTGAGGCTCGCGTGAGCCGCTACCACTTCTGGTGTGGCCCTGCGGCGCAGGCACATGCGCTGGAGAGTTTCACGCGCCTCCACCTCCGGGTGTATGAACGAGACATGTGGTTGGACACTGCCGGCTCCTGGGAATGCTAGTCCTTGGCATCCCAGGGCGTCGTCGATGAGCAAAGTGCTGCGGAGAGCCCGCTGTACAGCAGCACAGCTCAGCGCAGGGAGGGATCTCGGTGATGGAAAGGAAGCGCGACTTGCTTCTCGGCAACAACCTCCACGCTCAGCAAGTCAAGGAGGAGATGGAAACACAGATGTCGCAGGCCCTGTGACGTCTCTGCCTTTGTACAGTTTGCAGAAATAAAGCTACGCAACCTGGCTGATGTGCCTGGGGCATCTCAGCAGCCAGGCCCTCATTAAAACTTTAGCTCCCGCGTCAGAGCCGGCAGCGGCCAGTGCCAAAACAAAGCTAGTGTTCTAGGCGGTGCGCAGCCCCATGAAATGTGCAAGGCATGTGCTTTTTATTGGTGCCCCCCCCCCCCCAAAGATCCACCCATTTTCCCTTTTTTCCGGTGTTGTTGATGTGCTACTTTACTTTTTCTATGTTTTAATTTTAACGCTACGCGACCCGCCTCGGCCCGGCCCAGCGCATCCGCGTGAGCATGGTGATTCCGCAGCGCCCAAGTTGCTGGGCCCCAAGCAATAAGGGTTGGGTTTAGGGTTTAGGGTTTAGGGTTCCGGGTTTATGGTTTATGGTTTGGGGTTTAGGGTTGAGGGTTAGTTTAGGATTGAGGGCTTAGGGCTCAAGGTTCACGCTTTGGGGTTTAGGGTTTTTTGGGTGTGGGGTTCAAGAATCGTAGGGTGGAGCCAGCCCATCACGGGTAGGGGGGGTGGGGGGGGAAGGGGGGGCAGGGGGAGGGTGGGAGGGGGGGGGGTTTGTTGAAGGTTTGAGGGTTGAGTGCTTCGGTTAAGGTTTAGGGTTTCGGTTCAAGCTTAGATTCTTCGGCTCGTGTAATGCATCCCAGGCCGTGCTCACAGCAGTTGAGCCTCACCAATGTTCTGTAGTGGTTTTGGAAAGGGGAGGGGGGGTTGTGGGGGGGGGGTAGGAGGGTGGAGGGGGGGTTGGGTGGGGGGAGAGGAGGGGGAGGGGGGGCCCCTGCTGGGAAGGGCTGCAACTGCCTCTGGTCCTGGCGAACCATCCGCTGGCGGCCCCTGCTCTCCTAGGGGGGGTACCATTTTTGGCAAAAAAAGGTACACCTTCGGCCCGAGGCCTCAACGGATATCCAAACACATGAGAATAGACGACGCGCGACACCATTACCTGTATTTACTTGGCCGAGGCCCCGCGAATTTAAACCGCATTTAAAAATTTAGGTTAAATGCGGACACGATCCTGTGAATGTAAAGCTGCATTCAACAATT